ATTTTTGTAAAAATGTACATATGTGATTATATACATGCATAGAAAATGCGAACGTTTAAATGTTCACAAATGTCAGCTGTGGTTATCTCTAAGCAGTGCGATTACAGGAGAGTTTTATTTTGTTCTCTTTACATCTCCGCATTTATTATATTGAGCATGTTTTCATGCATAATAAGATAATCAGTAAAAGGTATTAAAATATACTTCTGTTCTATATCACATTGTGAAAGTTAAATGTCGTACTATTCTTCCCCTTAGAAGGTAATTACTCCTCCATATTCATTCAACTGTCTTGAGCCACAAATCGGTTTAGTTGAAAGTGCTTGGTATCTAGATGTTCTCACCCAGGTCGGCAAAGGCAAAGCTGTAAAGAGCCTTATTTAGTTCATGCCCCTTGCCACACATCCCTCAGGACACAATCTGAACTCGCTAAAAGATGGGTTGAAGACGATGGTAAAGGCAGATTTCCGTGGATTTTATTCTTCCACTGTAGCTAACCTAGTTACTCCATCTAAGATTTTAAAGTCATTTCACTCCAAATACTAGTACTTCACCACGGTCATGAAATTGCTGTGAATACCTATGGAAAGCAATCAATAATAAAAAAAATAAACAAAATAATAGTACCCCTCCAAAATGTTCTAGTTCATCTCAGAAGCGACAGAGCTCATTGATTTCCATAAAAAGGAACTGCTAAGAAGAAAAGTAAAACGAAAAACAAAAAAAAACAAAAAACAAAACTATTCCTCATAAAATCTTGAACTAGTTAAGTTGAATTACTGTAAATGCATGGAGAGGTCAGCCCTTCATTGTCAGGCACGTAAGGAAGCCGTTCTTTATTTACTCTGAGGGAAGATCTTCCCGAGTGCCTCAAATCCAGAGCCAGCAGTAGTTGCTTGAAGCCTCAGTACATTATTTTTGATGTCCTTCAAACTTAATTATTTTACCCAAGAACATAAAATGTTAGCATTAAATGTCACTTAAAAATACTGTTCATTGTCTTTAAGAAGGTAAAACAGTACCCTTTTCACTTCCTTGTTTTATACTTGAAGTAGCAGAAAACTGAGCTCTTAATTTTGGATCAGTAATTTTTGAGGCAAGGAAAATTTTGGATTTTTGAGGGGTGAAACAGGAACATAGTAGATAATGCAACTGTGCAAGATTACAAGGCTTTTAAAAATTTCATTGTCTTTGCTATAGTTGGTTAATCAATTAAAAATATATTTGTGAGAAACAGAACTTCTAGTGATGTCTTGATTTTGCCTCAGTTCCCTCTTCCCTCACTCCATTGTGCTCATTCAATAAAAATTAGAAAACATTTGGTGTATAATAGCAGCTGAAAATTTAAAAATATTTTCTTTTTCTCCCTGAATATCTGGGTTTTTTTGTGTGTGTTGTTCTGGAAACTTTTGGAAATACTTTTAGATTACATGACTATATCAATTTAGCTGTAACTTTGGAGGTTACATTTTTATGTTTCTTTGCTCTGGAAGAAGCAGTATCATTTCGCTCCAGAAATTCTGGTGGGTAGCTTGATGATATGACACTAGAAATAATAGGACAAGCAAAACAGCCTGGTTTGACAGAGAAGCCCATTTTAACTTTTGTTGGTATTCACTAGGGTTTCTCACATAAATACATGTGAATAACTTTTTTAAATGTCCAATACTTGCAAAAGCAGTTTTGAGGCTTTGAAGTGTTAGCTCTCACTTACATATCCTGAAATATCCTCCTGAGATGGCTTGCTAATTCCTAGAGTAGTTCCCTGCCTCACACTCTGTCAGTTTAGGAAAGAAAAAAAAATGCATCCTGATAACACAAGCCCATAAATTTCTCTCTTCATCTTCTGCCTTGTGAGGCTGGGCTCTTCACTGCCCTGCTCCTACTATATGGCACACATCCCCTAAATGGTCTGCCCCCTCTCTTCTCCCTTCCACCCCTCCCCTCCACCCCCACAAAAAGATCTTTCTAGAACAGTAATCTGATGTCTCAGCTTACAATACTTTGGTGCTTCCCCTGACAGCACAATCATGTTTCTCAAAACAATATCCAAGAATTTCTGGAAAAATTGAAATTTTATTCCTTTTTTATAATCACCATAATAAAAAAAGCAACCAGCAATACCCTTCCTCAAAATGGATAACTTGGAACTGAGAACAGTGTTCAGGCTCATCCTTCTTTGGCATTGATGCCAAATCTTGTACTTTCTGACAAAGCATGTGCTGCTCAAACCAATCCCCGACTTGGAGCCATGGTCTCAAAGGCATTTTCTTTTTCAGGAAACTCAGATATTACTTACTTGTGAGAAACGGTGGCCCATAGGACAGAGTCCAAATTCCCCAGTGTGGATGAAAGGTCCTTTGCGATCTACCTTTTACTATTCCTGCCCCTGGATCTCCTTCACATCGTTCCCAGCCCCTGAGTGACAAGCGGCCCCTAAATGAGCTCGGCCATCTCAAGCATTTTCCTTTCTCTTGCTTAAGTACTTGTTTTGTTTTGTTTTGCCAGTCATTCCCTCCCCTCCTATCTTGAACACACACTCCTCCATAAACTTAACCCGATATGCGACTACAAACTTATACTGTGATTGCAGTTATTATTCGCATGGGGAATCGTGCAATCAATAAGCTACACTGAAATTTGGTGGCCTAAGATGACATTTGCTATCACACAATTTTGGTGGGTCAGGGATCTGGCCTTGCCTTACCCTGGGTTCTCTGGCTCTGAGTCTCCAACAGGATGCAGCACCTCCTAGCCCTCCTGTAGTTGTTGGCAAGATTCACTTCCTCACTGGTTGTCCAATGGAGGCCTCAGTTCCTTGTGACTTGTGGCCTGGGGGCCTCCTTTAGTCACTGCTCTTAAAACATGATAGTTTCCTTTGTCTTAGTAAGCAAGAGAGGGCAAGAGAGAGTGTGGGCAAGAGAGAGAGAGAGAGAGAGAGAGAAGGAGTCACAGTCCTTTGTAACCTAATCAAGAAGTGACAGGTCAAAATTGTTGCATTCTGTTCATTAGAAGCAAGGCGCTAGGTCCAGTCCACACTTCTGGGTAGGGTGGGGATCAATGCTAGGAGGTGGGGAATACAGGAGGCAGGCCAGGGGCTGGATGGGAGGGCTCTTGCACTCTCCTGTCCCTGCCTCTCATGGGGCAGGTATCTTGGTGCCATGATTGGGGTTCCAAGGTTAAATGAGGGGTATAGTTGAAATAATCTGGCTCTTAAATGCCCTTTGAAAGTCAGCTCCTCACTTGATCTTCACCTGAAGACACAATGGTCTATTTTAGTGTTGGAAGAAGATCTCTCTGTTGGACTTCCTAAGAAAAGTGAAAAAGCTCACCAAGGCAAGCATTCTTAATAAATTACAAATGTAATCTGGACTATGCAATTTTAGCTTTATGTCCTGATTTTAATTTCTAGCCCAGACTAAGTTAAGAGTTCTCTGTATTTGCAAATCTAGCACTTGGAAAACTGTGGCACTTACTGACCTCTCTCTGAGCTGGGAGCTGCTGGACAGCTTGGTCCATGCCAAATTCATTTCTAATGCCAGCACTTTGCCTGGCACTTATGTTCTCCATATCCTTTTAAAATATATGTGTTAACTTGACATATTTTTCTGGTTTTTTTTAATATATTCAGTACTGAATTTACTAAGCATATCTGATAGAGTTTTCACAGTTGAGACTTTGACAGATCTTTGTCTAGCATAAATGTTACAAAAGTGTGACCTGGGGCTATAATACCTGTAATTTCTGTGTTATTTTGCTAGTCAGTTAGAGCATTAGCACTTTTGCCCTTGAATCAAAGTTCTCTCCTTTTCCTCCATGGTTTCCAAATATTTTGTCCTTTGGAGTCAAGGGAATTGCCCTGATTTTATGATGACATTTGGGTACGATATTTAAACTGTTAAAAGTTATAAAAACGACCCTTTGGTATTAAATGTAATAAATGGCTCTGAATTGAATATATGCACAGAATCTCGTACATGAGCTGTGTGATCCTAAACTTTTCCGGTTACATATTCTCATTGTAATTGGACTCTGTGACATTCTCTCATCCCCTATGAGTATGCCAGGCACTGAAAATTCCTCATGGCTTGGTGTTGGTAGATACGTTGCATCTTTCGAAGTTTGGGGTTTCATCTCTAACTAGTATATGACACTTGTAGTTCTGTGGGTTCCTACCCAATCCTAAGAAGCAGGGATGGCTTTGTAAGAAAAGAAAACAAAACAAAGCTGGTTTCATCCCTAAGAGATTTATTGCAACCCTCAAAGAAAGAGGCAGAGACATGACTTCTAGAACCAACCTATCTTTGCTCAGCCTCACCTTTACCAAGAATCTTGTCTTTACTCATGGATCCTCTGCACTGGGTTTATTTGTCCTGGCTTGTATTTTTCTGTGTAATTCTATAATACTGTGCTTGCATGTCTTAGCCTATAAATCCCTCAATGTCAAAGGCTATTCTCTTCCTTCTTCTTCACTATTGACGCCTTTGGTGCTTTTTTCCCCCAATTTTTACCCACTCTACCACCCCCTCCAGCAGCCAGCACATAGGAGGTCCGGTCTAGTTTTATGGATGACGTGTTAGAGTAGACCAGAGATGAGGGGCTGGGACGCGTGAGTGACCTGTAGTGAGGGAAGAATGTGAATTCCACAGGGCTTTGACACAACACTGAGTTTACTGCATTGGTCAGGATGGGTGCCAGGCTCTCCTTCGGCCTTCTAAATGCCCTGGAGTATGTTACTGCCATGAAATTGTACTCTAATATTTTCTAGTTGTGATTCATTCACAGTTTAATATGCTTCTAGTTCTGGTTTGACTTTTCCCCCAGGAAGAGGCTAAAATCTCTTCATTATAATATAGACAGTGTACTGCACTTTGAATACAAATTTATCCATGTTCAGAGTAATTTTTCTTGTGATTGTCTCTACCCTGGAGAAGTGCCTTTAATGAATTACATACAAATTGTGTAATTTAAGAAGTTAATTTGGTTTTCTGGTTACACAGGACTAAAAACAGCCCTTGTAGAAAGAGATGATTTCTCATCAGGGACCAGCAGCAGAAGCACTAAATTGATCCATGGTGGTGTGAGATATCTTCAGAAGGCTATCATGAAGTTGGATATTGAGCAGGTAATTGTGTATGCTGGTTGTTAAACAAAAATTGCGACTTTGCTTTTTTCTACCCAATTAAATTTTTTTTTTTTTATGGCTTTTAACATTTCTTCCTGTTGGAAATACCTATTTAGTGTGTATTCTGCTGGAATATCCTTCATGAAAGATGTGCTGGCACTTTCCCATAGCATCATGTTTATGGGTAATCAGGGGCTTTTTGCATGCAGGCATGTCAAGGTAGCAAATGTACAAAATCACCTTTGGATATGTTGCATTTTAACAATTGCGATGGTATGTTTGTTTGTTTTGCCAATGGCTACCAAATTGCTACTTCCAGACAGTTTCAGGGGGGCCGTGTTGTAATACAGGAGTGTTAAATTGATCCTCTTAACTGTAACTGCAATCATACGCTCATATTGCTACTGACATATTCCTAAGGAAAAGATGATCTGAGTCATGCTTTTCTTATGTCACACTTTATTGTGTCCAGTCTGCCACCATTTGAAAACTGCCAAGGCAGTGTGGAAGATGACATTTCCCAGGGGGTAAAAAAAAAAAAAAAAAAAAAAAAAAATCAGCTGAACTCCCTATCTGCTTCTGGTACATGAAAAACACAGCAGTGCTAACTTGACATTGTCAGTTTCGAATGTGTCCTCTTTTCTTCCATGTCTCTTCGGCATCATGCTGGATGCAAAGAATAGAGCATAGGACCTAGAATCAGACGACTTGTGATATGTTCCAGCTTCTTTATTCAATGTCCAAGAGCCTCAGTTTTCTCATTTTTACATTAGTGTTATAATAGTAATGCTGGCTTTTCAGAGAGGCATAATGAAGATGAAAAGAGTCAAGACAAAAGCTTTTTTGTAATCTATAAAATACTGGGCAGCTCCTAAGTATTATCTCTGCTTGTGTTAGTGGAGGCAAGGAGGGAACATTTAGTGTGAACTTGAACAATCTGTTATTTCTTATATGGGGAAATAGAGAGGACTGAGAAGGCCGACAATACAGAGAATGCAAGATAAATTGTTACAATAATCTTGTAACTCAAGTCAGGAAAAGATCTTACACCTGGGAACTCTGACAGCATGTTTTTCTCCTATGCAAATACAGTTAAGGTTTCTAAAAAATCTTTCAGGTTGACAGCATGATGTATTATTAGAAATTTGATTAGGAGGGAGCTATCCTCACTCAGAGGTAGAGAGGTTTCTGTGTATCAATCGGTTGGCGGGGTGTCTACTTGCCATTTGAAAATATTATGATTTGTTACTGCCAAACTAATTTTCTCTGTTTTGCTTTTCAGTATAGGATGGTAAAAGAAGCCCTTCACGAGCGTGCCAACCTACTAGAAATTGCTCCCCATTTATCAGCTCCATTGCCTATAATGCTTCCAATTTACAAGTAAGGCTTTTGATATCATCTATATACTCTTTGCTTCACTGAGGTCAATAGAACAAAACCGTTTTAATGGAAATAGTCCCTCAATGTGTGTTTCATAATATACTTCTAACTGGTCCTAATCTCTAATCCTTTTCAAATGTTTGCCTTTGTTGTGTTTAAAAATGTGGCTTTTCCTAAGTTACCCTTTTCTGACCCACCTCTGAAGGCTAGATCTTGAAGGCTGAGGAGGTTGTCTTCTGTGTTTATAATTAGTAGTTTCTTACTAGTTAACCAAGTTAACTTACCAGTTAACCGAGACTCTCTAGAAGGGCAACTGCATTTACAGTGGGGAACAGAGGCGGGACATTTGCAAACAAAAATGCAGAGTCAAAAGGTATCCTGCAGCAAAATCTGAACCTTAACCATGTACCAACTCCCAGCCTAAACCTTTTTGGCTTATTTTAAATTTCCAAATTAACTACATTGAAGTTTGGTTTGGAGGTGTCAGATTATACATTATAAAATCCAGTGTTCCTGATGTTGTTACAGCTGTCCATGAACTTGCCTTAAGTTGGAACACAGGTAGTATGAAGCAGCAGTTTATGCAGCTGCAAGGCACAAGAGAGTTGTGAGTACCTAGAAACAGCTTTGATCATTTTTGTCCGTATTTTGTTGTAGATAGCTTAGGACGTCTTAAACCAACGAACCTCTACCCTGGGTGCACGTGACAGTCACCCAGGCTCCACCCTTCATCCATTTAAATAAGTCTCTAGACGTGTGAGGCCCAGGTATTGGCGCTCTCCAGGGAATTCTCATACGCGGCCAGGTCAAGAAGCACTGTCTTAGGAATGATCCATTTAAAGTCTCACTGATTCATTTACTTATATAATTTAGCTCAGTTGGTGTCACAAACAGTCATGCAGTTCCTCCTGTTTCTTTTGCAGTATGTACACTTCTGGATATACATTGCTTTTCTTAAATGAAAAGTATGCTGTAACTTAGTGGCATTCTGTAATGTTCTGCTCTGTGTCTCAAGAAACCTTTCCCCCTATTTATGCTGTAGGTGGTGGCAGCTACCTTACTACTGGGTAGGAATCAAGCTATATGATCTGGTTGCAGGAAGTAATTGCCTGAAGAGCAGTTATGTCCTCAGCAAATCGAGAGCCCTTGAACATTTCCCAATGCTCCAGAAGGACAAACTGGTAGGAGCAATTGTCTACTATGACGGTATGTGGTTTTTCTTTTAATACGATACTTTTGTGACTCATGACCCTTTTAGTATGTTCTTGATGAGATAGCTTCACATTCTTAATTGTAATGCTGATCTCAGACAACACACAAACACACACCATTTTGTCTAATACTAGCTGAAAAACTACCCATGGCCCTTCGCTTTTAGTATTGTTTGTTTTTGCATATTCTTTTTCTTCTTTCATTTCTACTTGTATCTCATGGTTGGTTTGGTTCATTTTCCATCATTATGAATCTGGACCGCACCCACATGCCATTTAATTTGTTATATGTTTGCCAGCGAATACTTGCCTTATGAATATATTAGAATGTTGAAAGCAGCTGAGGATGTTAGGTTTTCTGATGAAACCTCTATTTTCAAGGGGTTATAAACCCAGGAAAAATGCCCCCTGGGCTGAAATTGACATGTTTGTATTTTGCACAGGACACAATTCTTGAACATATAATTTATGTGATGAAGGTAGATGAATGAACTTTGCATCTGTTAAACCAGAACCCCATTTTTTATTGCTTATTTTATTGTTGTTAAATGTTTTCGACCAGTAACATTATCTAATTTCCATTTGCCATGTGTTCCATGTTCATTCTTTGTGTGTGGGGGGGGTGGGGGTGGGTGTATGTGAACAATATACTTTTTACACACTTTTATTGGAAGGAGCTAACCACTTAATATATCTCCAGATGGACCACTGTACAATACAAAACAAAACAGGAAGAGCTGTTTGTGAAATTTTACTATAGTTTTAAAGGGTGTATGGAATTGGAAAATAGTCCAGGGATGGTTATCCATTTATTAAAAAAAATAGCTGGACACAGATAAGTAATCGTATGTGTTTGAAAAAATCTTAAAAATTTTGAACACAAAGGACAGCTTAGGCTCTATAGCTTGGAGGGGTTGTTTTTTAAACCCACTTATGTGATCTTTTGTATTTCAAGTTAGATATCTAAACTCTTAGCATGAAGAAATGTTTTTTCTTGATTTGTTTTCTGGGTTTTTTGTTTGTTTGTTTGTTTTTTCAGGAGACATTGATGTTTATACTTCATATTATGGGATATACCCAAGGCTACCCCCACCTTTTTGCTTCTTCTCAGTGTTAGATTTCTGAATCAATTGAGCTGTCTGTCATGCTTTCATGTACGAATGCAGAGTTTATATGCACAGAGGAGGCAACAGGGACAAAATCAAGAAAATGTCCTAGGAGCAACAATATTGGAAAAATGTTAAGAGTCTTAGACAAACATTAAAAGCTAGAAAATTCACAATTTACAGTGCCTTCCAGCATCTAAGCACCACAGGGGGGACACTTAACTATTTTTTTGGTACCCTTGATTGAGTCTACATGTTAAAGGACAACCTTAACTGTGAATTTGCTTTCTCTGCATCAGACCCTTAATGTTAATCCATTATAGTTTAGTGGGTGATTATATTAAAGAGGTTTTTGGTCCAGGATTAGTAAGAAGGCATTCTGAAAATGGCATTCTTCCCATCCTGACAAGGAAGAGTTTGTGCCCTTTGCCTCACATGATTCATTCCGCCTGCATAAACCCTCTCAAATACTTGGTCCTTTTCTTTACCATGTGATGTAGCAAACACTAACTAGTTTTATTTTTTAGCTCGTGTGTATCTGATTCTCTTTGAGAAGACTGTGAGTGGATATCATATCTGAATTTGTGGCACCCTAGTTTTTTGTTGGTCTGATATTGTTAGGAATTATAGACTGTTGTTGATTCTATTTAGAGAAACCAAAGGAAGTCTATGTCATATGTGCAGAAGAAATATTATCCAATTAGAAGCAAGAGGAAGAAAAATTTCTTTAAAATTGGTTTTCATACCTTGTCACAAGTTGCAAAATTATGTCTAGCAAGGATTATTGAAAAATACAAAAATTATTATTTAAAATAATTTCCATTTGGTATTTAAAGTTTGACTATAATAATCTTAAGTCTTGAAGGGGTGAATATAATTGTATTCTAATCATTTGAAATATATGTATTTGTATTTACTTATATGTATGTTTTTATCCTTGTTCTGAAATGATCCAGTCCAACTCTGTCATGCTTAAGGTGAGGCAAAACAAGAATGTGAAGCAAGTGTAGTGTTATAGTTTCACAAATGTATCCTCAGATGGCGCAACTCCTGTTTTTCCCAATGGTGTGATGAGCAAATTAAGTATCAATGAGGGAGTAAGGTAGAAAGGAGTAGATAAGTAAGGGCATTAGATGTGGTAAGTGTGTGCTCAAGAGAGAGGAAGGAATGCCTTACCCCTTGACCAAACAATAACTTTATCATCCTGTCACCAAAGAATTTCAGAGAAGAAAAGGTACCTGAACATTTATTATTGCAAATGAGGTCTACACATTGTAATTTATAAGGTAAAACTTTCTTAACAAGAAAAAAAAAATTCCTTCTTTATAAATAATCATTATGAGAATGTGATAAGCTACCCAAATAATTTCAAAATTCATCTGGGCTGATTAAAATAACTGGCTTTTTGTTTGTTTATTTGTTTTTTTAGTTAAGAAATATTTATTGAGGTGAAATCCACATAACATAAAATTAACCATTTTAAAGTGACCAGAAATAACAATTTTTATAACTCCCAACTTGGGAGAATCTTGATTACGGTAAAAAAGTGGCACAAATGAGGAAGTTGAATTTCTAAATGCTGCAAGAAGTTTGGCTATCTCAAAACTCTTATTAGTAATTCATTATACAGTTACTTCAGCATCACTGAAAAGCTAAATACAAAAAATATGTGAAAATACGGTCCGTCTAGTAAACATGACCCTGAGCTTAGACCAGTGGCTTAGACAATCTTTAACGTTCCTCAGCACTGAGATGTTAGGGCTGTAAGGTATTCCCGCTAAAGTACAAAATGTACAAAGATCAAAATAGTTTTCTTAATTATTCATAAGGGTAGTTCATCCTACATAAATAGTGATGGCCATCGCATTTGGTTAAGGCAAAATTTATTCCTCCACTAAAGTCAATGAGGGCAATAAAATAAATTCCACATACTTTTAAATGCAGTAATTAGAGTGGCTATTATGTGCTTGGCATAGGTATGATCCATTGCCATATTTTGTTGTTAAACTGCTGAAAAACAAACTGACACATATGGAGGAATAACTACCATCTTTTTCGGTGCAGACAAAGTAAATGTCAAATTTCTCAGAAAAATTCGTATGTAATGAAAGTTGGGATAGGAAGTGACAGATCAGGTTATATTTCTTCTTATCTTCTGTCAGAGAAAACATACAGTCAACTCACTGGTTTTCTGAAGGAGACACGATCCTGGTCTTTCTTACCAGTTCCTTGCCATCTGCTCCCAGAATGCCCTCAGCTGAATGCTGTCCATGGCCATTAGCCATAATAAGGTAGGGAAAATGGTGGCTAGTCCAACTCTCCTAGGTCAGCAAGAAGTATTTAAGGCATGACAGGCTTGGGTGTCTCGGCATGCTGGGAGGTATGAATAGCTCTAGAGGAGGTGCCAGTTTCCTAGGAACTTATTTTGTCTTCCTCTGTCAACTTGACTTCAATCTTCCTGTCCCCAGAGTATGATATTTGGTGCCATTCTAGTTGGACCCTAGTTATCCAATCCAGTGCACAGAAAATGAGATATAATTAAAAATCATTAAATATTTAAAACCATTAAATACTGCCATTAAGCTTCTATAAGGTGAAACTGGAGAACAAAATTACAGCTTTAAATTCTTCCTTCTGAGAATCAAGGTACTGACAGAAAAAGAGCTCTGTTATTTCATACCCAATGATGTCCTCAAGTATTCCTTATGCACATATGAAAATAGCTACCTACAGGAAATTACATTAGGTTTCCTAATGTAAATAAAAGTTGGTTATATCCACGTTTCAAAGGGGGATTTAAAGCCCAGTGTTCACTAGAATATTCATTTTTATTCCAGCCTAAAACTCAACAGCATACAAATAGATGAATTCAGCTCGTGAGAGAGCAAAGCCAATTTAATCTCTGGCTCCCCTGAGGTAAATGTAGTTCACGGTCCTGCCCCCCCTCAACCTCAGCTATAATCCCTGGCTCCTGGAGGTAAAAATGCACTGAAGTGAGGAAAATTCTGCAGCAGGATATAATGATCCAAAATGACAGGGACAATAATGACAATGAATTTCATGTCTCCCAGTCATGAGCCAGAGATGCTTGACTAGGCTGACTTATACAATTAAATTGTTACAGGTACAGCGGGAGATGCAGTTAGCTGTGTGCTTTGGGGAACGGGGCCTCTGGCAAAAGGCATATCGCAGAATCCAGACTCTTTTGTTAGGGACAAACTATTACTCCTCTAGGACACACGTCCACAATTGTATACTTTAATGAAAGAAATCCTGGGTTAAAGACAAGTCTTTTAAGGTGTTGATTTTATCTACTTTGGAAAGCTAAAAGAAAAAATCAATTACCCAGTACCACAAAGGTGATTTTTTTTTTCTTTTTTTTCCTTTTTTGGTCTCATGGTTTTGTTTTTGTTTTTCCTTTGACTTCCTGGAGCAGAAGTCAGATCTAAAGATGGTGCCTTTAATTCTCATAATAATATTTGCAAATGCAATCGTTGAGCTCATTGGGTGTTAGTAACTTTATATTGGACAGACACATTAATTTCTTCAGAGTAACAGAAGTTACCAAATGAATAATAACCAAATGATGTAGATGTACAAACAAAACAGAGTACCCTTATGCAAGTTTGGGTCCTGTGCTCCTTAATACAATTCTGGGAGGGCTGCTACGTTGAAACCTAAAGTGGACTGTGTGAGCTGTGTGGAGTGCTCAGCAGCAACCACTAGATGTAGAAAGAACAGACTAGAACCTCTACTTGGCTACATTATTATTACCAAATTCCTTATAAGGGTCAGTTTCTACCTATGGTTCAAATGTCTGTAACATGTAAGCACAAGGATACACACACACACACACACACACACACACACATATGTGTAAATACAGTAG